TGCCTTATATGTCAGTACAGACATCCCCCCACCCCAAACCTCAAAGGCTAACATTTATCAACTGAAACAAAATAGTAATGTTGAGGCAGGAAAATATTTGCTACTTACTGCCATTTAACTTAAACCTGTTCAATGATTTAATGCACATGACCCCCATAATTATGATTTGGGAAAAAAAAAAGAAAAGAAAAGGAAGGAAAAAGAATTGGGGGCGGGGGAAGGGAAGGAAAAGAAGAGAAAAAATACGCATTTGTATGTGGTTATTCGAGGCTCAGATCGATTAGACGTTCACAAAGATGCAGCCGAATGTTTAAAGTAGATTCTACTATTTAGCTAAAGTAGAGCAATTCAAACCAAGACTCACAGATTTTTAGAGAATATTATCCCAAACTGTATCCACCTGTTTTCTCATTATTCTTTTTTAGCCCCTGTTTGTGCTAATGTATATCCAGAAAAACAATTCTTTCTGTTACACTTACCAACACTTTAAATAATGCAGTCCCTGTCAAGAAGGTGGTCAACATGGACAATTCACAACTACCCATACCCTGGTTCCGTCTGCTTCTCTGCCCTTCAGAAGTGACCCCTGCCAATAAAGGATCTGTTTTAATTCTGTGTATTTTCACTTGAACTTTGTTTAAAGTCTAAATTGTCTGTCTCAATTGTGCAACTCACTGTGGTCTAGCAAGCCTGACTTTTATTTTTCCTTCACAATGTTTAAAATAATGAAATATGATAGACTATTTAGGTAAAATTTTATTAAATGAGTACATGTAACTTAATAACGTGAAGGTTTAGAGCCATCTGAAGGATGTTTTGTTTCAGTGGCTACAGATGTATTCTGTTTTATTTTAAGTTGTCAGGAATCTGAAGAAAACCAAAATTGATGGGTTGCAGTTTTTTCACATTAAATGCTCATCATATTAATGTTAAAAATTAGTTATAACTGTAGCTTGTATCTCTAATCCTCTGGAATCAGATAAGAACAAAAACAGCATTCCCTTGAATGCTGTAGATGTCGCAATGAAATATTTAAGGTGGGATTTGTTGAAATGTTCTAAATTATGTTTTACCCAGAAATCACACTTACAGCAACAGCAGTAAGAAAGAAAAATTGCCCCTATGGCTAGGAGATGAATTCTGCCCCAGGGCAGGCCACACAGCTGCCCCCTCTCTGCTACCCTGTTCCAGAATAGAATTGCAGTGATGAAGAACTGTTCTCTGTTAGTGAATCCAAACCTGTGTCCTTTATTGAATGTGGTGTTTATTTATTTTTACTTTTTGGTAGGATAATTAGGTTTATTTATTTATTGAGGAGATACTGGGGATTGAACCCAGGACCTTGTGAATGCGAAGCTCGTGCTCCACTACTTGAGTTACACCTTGCAGCCCCCACCCCAAACGCAATGTAAGCACACAAGAGTGAGCAGCAGCTGGAAGAAAGAGGTTCCATCTGGGAGCACTCATTCCTCAACCTCTTCTTGGGAAGCTTTTGTATCTCTCAGATAGATTTACACTCAAGCATACTTATTGCCACTTTTTTCATTGCTTTGTTAGTATTACCAGCACTTTAAACTTTGAGAAGTTCCCCATCTCTGAGGAGAAATGATGAAAGTCGTTTAACAGGATGACATCGCTCCCGTGGAGAGGTTTCCCTTCAAACGCTTTTTCAGTGTGTCTTTTGGCTCCAAGAGTGAGCTGCGCCCTGATCATGAAATGGCATATAAACTCTCTTTTGGAAGGCAGTGTTTTTCTTTAGTTGCCTCTTGGGTCCTTCTTTCTAAACCACTTACTTGGTTTTGCTGAATCACGGAAAATAGACATTTTCCTGTAGCTAAAAGTCTCCCATGTATTTTAAACAAACAAAAAAATGGCAATATAGGATGAAAAATACGATAAGAACCTACAACTTTGTGGCATTTCTTGGTATAATAGCTACGTATTTTACTGCCATTCATCTTTTGTGTTACTTGTCTGTCCTGTTTGTTTTTGTTTTGTTTTTGCATGGTCCCCAGGCACTGGTGATACAGTGGTGAATAAAAGTACACAGTTCTCCTAGAGGGTGTGAATACATAACTCAGAGATTAAGGATATAACTTGAGTTAAACAGACCTAAACTGTGATCCTGACTTGTTCAGTTATTAGCCTTGTTGAGATGAATATGGTGGGGAGAGTTTAGCTCAAGTTTAGAGTGCATGCTTAGCATGCACAAAGTTTAGGGTTTAATCCCCAGTACCTTCATTGAAAAACTAACTAAATAAATAATCCTAATTACCTCCTCCCTGAAAAAAATAAATAGAATGAAATTTTTTTAAAAAGATGAATATGTGTTTTGAATTCTCTGAGTCATAATGTTCTTGTGGTAAATAACAGACAATCATCACTCTTTTGAAGCTGAGGTTACATAATTAAAGTGAGGAGCCTAAGACAGAATTGAATTTCCAGGAAATGTACAATAATTATTAGTTACTAGTACTGTTTGATGTGCGCTGAGATCCTAATAGTAAGAGGAGCAGTTTGTACATTGCCTGCTTGGCTCATGAATACTGTCTGCAAACTTCCCAGCCATCCTGTAAAGTGTGGCTAGTTGTCCTGTTTTACTGCTGAAGAATGTGGAGCTGAGGGCAAGAGTAATTAAAACTCACCTGAATCTTGCCACTTCTACTTGTCAGAACAAAGACTTGAACCACATTCATCTGATGCCAAAGTCCATGTGTTTCTACTGCATTAATCTGATCCTTAATGTAAGGCTTGCACTGCTTGGAGCAGCCATTCTGCTTTTTCCATATGTGAAACTGATAGACCTTTCCCTATCCCCAAACCTGTGTTCTGGAAGCAGCAAGGCAGTCACTTAACTTCCTCATAAAACAGCACTCTGGCTATATAACCTTGGAGCAGATTTGGCCATCCACTACTGAAATAATCTTCCTGTAGCATCACTTTTTCCCTAATTTAATTCCATTCCAAGTCTCTCCCTTTATATGTAAGATCTCCGTAGAATTTATCTCCTGAACTGGGACATTTAGGGGAGTAAAGAGGGGGCGCTAATGATAATTACTCTGAAATACCAGTTATAAACCAGCTCCATCCTGGAGAAACCAAGATGTACGGTCTTTCTGTTTATAAGAGTCCAAGGTTTAGATTGTGTGTTAGATTAGGAAAACTGTGAGCATGAAAGGGAGAAATATTCTTTGCCCCAATATATGGCCACATAAACATTTCCCCCTTAAGGTCAGAGTAAAGTCACTACATTATTAATGCACTTTCAGCCTGCACTCAGTCACATGCTACAGCTGGGTAGTAACAACTTCCACTTTTCTTTGCTCTTTCAAACCAACAGGAGACGAATAACTGGCACCTTCTCCTCATAGCATTTAAATAATCTATTTTCTGTTCAGAGGGTCTATGGATAAAAACATTTATTTTCTCCTGCAAATCCTTTGGTCAGTGCCGAAACACACAACCTATGCATCTTGGAGGAAATGTGCTGTGTAAAATGGTTTGTTCAGTCCCAGCTAAGTATTTCTGCAAAGGAAGAGGTGTTTATAGACTGCAATGCAAATTTTGCTATCATGGCAACCACCGGTCATTTCCTGCAGTTTCTTATTGCAACCAACATCTTAGAAACTGACTGCTAAGTTAAATCTTTTATAAAGGAGTAATAAAGAGAAGTGATGATAAGCAGAGTGTGCAGTAGGTGTTTGAACCTGGGGTGGGGAAGAAAGAAAGGGAAAAAAATGGAGCAAATAGAAATGAGATATAAAATAGCTATTACGATTTCCCTCCAATTTCACCCAGTGTTAGGATGTGTTTAAGATCAGTGATTTTGCTGAAAATTGGTTGTCCGTCTTCACCAGGTGTCTGTGATACTGTGATAGTTCATTTCTTTTAAGATATTTTTTGTTATAACTTTTCAATAGCATGCAAGCTATACATGGAAGGAGGGCAGACTATCAATATAGTTTTACTGTATTTCAGTTATAAGCAGGAGTATTTCAATAATTTATCTTACAATTCATATAAAACTCATAATTGACAGATCTTACTCTGATAAAAAACTTATACCAACTCAAGATAGAAAAGCAAAAAAGGCCATTTAAGAAAGAGATGCAAGTAAAAATAAGAAAAGATTCTTTCATTTCCAAAACACCCACATTAAAACAGCATGTGCCAGTTATAATGGTTACAGTTACACTGTGCATCTCAGTGATGTATTTAAACTGAATGATTCAGGCCCTGTCCCATAATTTCATTTACTTTCTTTTCCTTCCCTCTATCCATCTCTTTTTGCTTGCCTCATTCTTTTTTTAATTTCATTTTATTTACTCACAGTTCTGAGGTCATTAATCTCTTTCTGAACTTAATTTTTTAGAAGAGTCTTGCCCCCTTTTTCTTTATTAGCTTTCTATACAATTAGCCTACATTTTCATTTTTAGGAACCCCCTTCCCTTATAAGTCTTGCTTTACAGAAATTCTGACAATAAAACCCTAAATTTCGGTTCTTAGAAATGTTGGACTCTCCTTATCTAAAATTCCTGCCTGACTGTAGTTTGTTTTCTTTATTATTTAAAATATGAGCAGCCCGTGTCTTTTGAGGATTCCTATCACTTACGCATAAACAACCATCAGTTTTTCCTTATTTATCAGAATTAAGCCAGGAGTAAGCACTGCTTCTATTTATTTCTACTTTCTGTGAGATAAAATTTGACTTCAAGGCGAGTCTTAAATTTTATCAGATATTCTGCTTTCAGATAAGTGACTTGTCTAGCAGTTTTCATGATAGTTAATGCACCCGTAAGCCCTGCCAGCGACAAACTGAATTAGAAAAAGCATTTTCCATGTTGCAGGCTTTTTGGTAGAATATCTGTCTTTATCTTTCTTTCTCCAATCAATTGTTCTCTTTGTATACTTACCTGAAAAACAGTGTACCTCCCAGCAACTTGGGTCTATTCATCTTGCTCAAAGTTTCCCTCCTATTACTGTGGTCCAGTGGTTATCACAGTAAGGGCTGGGGACCCCTAGGGGTCTGGAAGGAAGATTGAAACTGTTTTCACAATTCTACTGAGATGTTCTCTGCCAGTGACACCACCATTCTTTCACAGGCAGAGGAGTTTGCCAAATACTGCATCACATGTGATGACTTCATTGCTCTGATCACTAATTGGATGTGAACTTAGTATTCTCGTTTAAAATTTTTCTGTTTAATTTTAGCATAGTAAATATTGATGGATATCACTCGCATAAACAAAAGCACCTCAGTATTTTTAAAAAGTGTCAAGAGCCCCTGAGACCAACATATTTGAGAACTGCTGTTACAGTCCGGTCATTGGTAGCATTTTACCAAGTCTCAATGATAATTATAAAATATATATAATTTGTGTAAAGCTGCAGGTATATTTTGCTTATTTCTCATGCTTGTTGAATTTATAAGGGTAAATTTTAAGCTGAAGTGGTTTTACCAGGTTTTCTATGATAGTTTGTCTTAAAAGTTATCAGTATATCTTTAGCATTTTTTTTCATTCTCAAATAAACCTACTATGACTCTGGAAGCCTTTTTGCCTGAGGGCAGGGTACTTCGTCTGTTAAAAGTATTTAGAGAAAGAGACTTTGTGTTTATTTCATTAAACGGTATCAGCAGTAATACAATTTTAGCCAACTGCTATCACCTTTCAATAAAATTAAATAAATGGTATTTAGAAAGTTGATTTAAAACACATATGGGTATAATGTAGGTTAACTTTTGCTTATTGTCTCTGCCATTATTGTATGCATGTGATAAACAACTTTTAGTTTTCATTGTTCACTGTTATATTAAGTACATTTTGCATGACTAAGTTAAGAGTTGACATTATTTCAGTTTTAAAATGTTGAGAAACAACTTTTCAGCAGAGGTAAATTTAACATATTATACATTTATATGGAATGTCAGCATTAATAAGAATTTGAATTTATAACAAAATTATAGTGGCATCTCTGCTGCATCCATTAAGATGATTTAATAAATCAAAGATCCAGGTCAATCAACAATCAGATTGTGATCATTATAGTTTCAAAGTCTTAAATTAGGAGAATGGATATAAATCTTTAATCTAAGTTACACTGACATTTACTGTGTGTAACCAGTAATAATATATTATAGTAATAATAATATAGATATTAGGTATGTTAATAAGCATATTCTTATGTAAGCTTTTAAATTCAGTGTTTCTCTTATTAAAGAAATATATGCAAATAAAATAAATCAGATTTTTCTGAACCATAAAGACATTTCTCATTTAATTAACAAGAACTTTGATCATACTCAATTTTAGAATTGGTTTAATGGCACTTTAATTATGTCATCAAAGGTTGAGTGTTTTCTATTTTTTCTACTGTGTCACTTTTTTCTCTCTTGCTGGTTTCAATATGGCTGCTCTAGATCCAAGTTTCACACATTAACTCTGACTTCTGAGGCAGAAAGGAAGAAAGAGAGACCTTTATTTATCAATTTTTTTAAAACAGGAAGAATAGATTTCCTCAGAAACCCTCCCACAGACTTCTCCTGCCTAATGACTCCTTGCTCATAAGTGTGTCATAAGGCCATCCCCTGGGGCAAGCAAAGCTTGGGAAGGGACTATCACGTAGAAAAGATCTGAATAATTGGCTTATATCTCTCAGTCACCTTCTGGGCTTAGCACCTTGAAATTCTGAAAAATATCCTACTTCCGTTAGGAAGGAAGGGAATCAGTCGTGTTGAATAGGAAACTAACAGCTTTCACCATAATTGATAAGTGATCAAAACAGGGACATGCATAGAATGCTTGGAAACCCAGAGAGTGAGGAAGCCCTGTGCCAGGACCTGGGCGAGGCTAAGTGATCACAATCTTGATGGTACAGTAAACGTTAGCTGGGTAAAGACATGTGTAAAGGCAAACAGAAAGATACTATCCAGGCTCTTAAGTGGTTTAAAAAGTCTGAAGAGATTGGAATCATGAAAACCAGTTTTTATTCTATAAATTATATTTGTTGGAAGGCAGTTACTAGGCAGTTCTCCCCACCTTTACCTGGGTATGTATCAAGACTCAAGCAGTGCTAAGGTTAAACCAGTAGGATGCATGTCCGCATCGGCGTATCATTGCACTAGGTCAACGAATTGCTTTCACACACTTATGATTTCTCTGCACATTTAAAGTAGTGTGAAGAAGCCATGGTATTTTTCCCCTGTTCCTTCTCCAGGGAGTCTAGATTCCTTATTGCATTTTGTTAACTTATATAATCCATCTTTAGTATGGTCTTCTTAACTTCTAAAGCACAAAAGAATTAAAATCACTGAGCAAAGAGTCTTGGGACCCACTGGATTTTTTTTCCCCCTCCAAAACTATAATCTCAATTTAAACAGTTGAAATCAAACACCTTTTTCAAAAAAAATTATATTTGCTGTATAGCCATTGTTAAGACTGGGCATTTTCCACGGAAATTTACTTGAGATTCAATCAATGATTTGTCGAGTCTTTCAGCAGTCTTATAGTCCCATCAGATTAGTCCACTGCAGTTTACTTGGAGAATTGGTATTTCATGAGTTTGCTTCCAGTAGGGGTGGAAATCTAACAATATTAACTGGGCTGTGTCTGTCACTCTCACTATTCATTACTGTAAATGGAAATTTATAAAGTTATCTGGATATGGTTTGACTCTTTTCCGTAGGGAAAGCCCTAATTGGAGAGCAACTGCTAACTATGGATAAATGATGAGGACACATTTTTGCCCTTAGAAATGTATTGTATGGATATGATTTATTATTTATATGCTGCATTTGATTAATATTTATTTCTAAGGATTTTAAAAATATTTTTTATTCTCTTCGATTAATAGTGCCTCCTTGCCTGGGAATGATATTCACTGTAGGTTGAAATTTAAATGTTATTCATACACCTCAGAATAAAATGAACAAATGACCATTTGGCTTAGGTACACATCTTACCTTAGGGGAATAGTCAAATGGATTTAATATTTACTTACCCTGACCCTCACATTCTAATCCCAAACATGTGTTAGTAACATCACTAAATCTTTTTCCAGCTTGCTATTTTAAGCACTGCTGAAAAAAAAAATGGGGTGGGGAGGGGAGATGGGAAATGTTCACTCCTGTCTAAAGCACTTGAATATCAAAAATAAGCTGCTGGTAAGAGATGGAAAGATGCAGACTGACCCCAGGCATAATACACACCTTTCAGAAGTTTCTTTCTAGCACAGAAAATGGCACAGCCCCACCTTGGGTGAGTTTATAGACATGTCCAGTTCAGATTAGTAGAACCCTATCGGAAGAGAACCAGGCTGATTGATTATGCAGGAGAGAAAAACAATTGAACACTTACAGTGTCATGCTGTTTTCCAGGGGCCTTAAAGTGCATGTTTATTTCTACAGCACTGTAGTTCTGCAGGATAGGGTTTAGTATTCCCAAAATTTATCACTGAAAAAAAGCGAGACTCTGAAACACATAGTAACTTGTCTGGGGTCTTCTGGTTGTATCTGGTTCAGGACTCAGTTACAGCTGCGCTGAATTCCAAGCTTTTCCTGCTGCCTAGTGCAGTGAAAAGCTCCTGTCTTAATGAGAGGTGGGATTCAGCACTGCCTTATCCCCTGGTAACTTCATCAACAAATCTCACAGCATGCAATTAAAACTTACTTGTCCAGGTGCATGCTATCGATGGACTATGTATCACTTTTGTTACTTGTTCTATTTTCTTGTTTGTGTAAGTCTGTTGTATTCAGTAGATGAAAATCAAATTTTTGTTTATCTTTAAAAATCACTCTCATATATTCCAATAAATATTAGCTATAGTCTGGTGGTTGATGTGGATAATGCATTGGTCTTAGTTTTTGAACTTTCTTGGTAGGTTCTAAGATGTTATTTTCTTATATATTTAAAATTCTATGTGTTAACTTCAGAACTCAATTTAAAATTCACTTAAATATGATATAAACTTTTCCTGGTTTCTTCTTTCACATTTAAAGAGGGTGCTTCAATTTTACATCTTTGTGAGAATCAACAAAAGGGAGAGTAAGGAAAATCTAGGATATATAGATTTTTTTTTAAAGTAGACAGAGTCTTCAATTAATTAAAATACTTCTAAATCCCCAAGGACTTTTTGTATTCTTTCCTAAATCTAAATCTGTTACTAATAAAATCAAGTCATAATCATTCCAACAACAGAATTTCTAAATATATGCATTGAATGTTGTAACAATAATTCAAAATGTAGCAACCAAAAAAAAAAAGCTGCACTCTCTACTGAAAATTTATCCTTAATGTATGCTTATCATCTAATCTTGCAGAGCTGTTTTCTTACTGCTACACTCCTCACTCCAGATTTTGTTTGAAAGCGTGGGATATGGTGTCTGGTGGCCTCATTTTTCCAGTCCTAACTCTGCCTATCATGTACTGTATAACATTGGACAAATCGCATAACCATTTGGAATCTCAGTGTTCTATTTTATGAATCAAAGGGTCAGAGTATTTTATAGTTTTGAATAATGGGATGATAATGAAATTAAATATATGCTGCCATGATTGCTTCTACAATTTGAATATATCTCATTTTTGTTTTCTCAAAACCCCTGATTATTTCACAAAGGTAATAATAATTTTATAGTTCACTATCATCAATAACAGTCACTTCATACCAATCATTTTTTTCTAAGGCCCTCATATGAGAAGCCAATTGTCCAGTTATCTTCCTCTTCTACAGAGAATACAAGAAGACTCTTAGGGGAAAGGAAAATAAGTTCGGAAATTAGTACAGAACTATTCAGCCACTCAGTGTCAACAAGAAATGAGAACAGTTTCACAAAAATCCAGACATAGAAAACAGATTTATGGTTACTAGTGTGGGAAGGGAAAAATTGGGAGTTTGAGATTTGCAGGTACTAACTACTATATATAAAATAGGTAAACAACAAGTTTATACTGTATTGAACAGGGAGCTATATTCAATATCTTGTAGTAACCTAAAATGAAAAAGAATATGAAAACAAATATATGTATGTATATGTATGACTGAACTATTATGCTACACATCAGAAATTGACACAACATTGTAAACTGACCATACTTAAATTAAAAGAAATCTCATTTACAATATTAACAGACATTAAAGATATATAGAAATAATAAAGTAAAATAAAATATTTTTTGAACAATTGTTTTTATTTATTTGATGTTACCATGTTTAGAAACAGGACTGAATACTTCTTTAATGCATTGCAATCAGTGATCACATGATATCAACCACTGATGTCTTCCTGGAGGGGATGCACTTCCTAAATTCAATGCATGTTTCTGATTCCAGAAGTGTGGGCAGACATTTTGGTAGCTACCATTTTACTGGACTTACTGATCCATCAAATGATTTTGGTTTTATCATCAGACAAATAGAAGATCTACATTTACATAGCTATTTTAATGTTATTTTCAGTGGCATTTATCTTTTTAAGTAGAAGTGGTAATGCTTATCATAGAATGATATGAAAATATATTCTCCATGACTCACTCATCTCCTTGTTCCATGCCATTGTATTAATGTTTCTTTCTCATTTATTTTTCTTGCGCTTGGTCCAATGCCACTTATATCCCTGTGTTGA